AGCAGATCTGATTCCAGGAGCCAGGAGCTTCTTCTGGGTCTCCCATATGGATGCTTTGCTTTCTCAGGCTTTATGATCACAGTAATATTCAGAAGAGACTCAGAACTATACACAGATTTTAGAAATGCGGTGTTGTGATAAACTAAGAGTGTTCTGAATAGTTAATGCACACTCACGGAGAGATTTTAAGCATCCTGTCAACTTATCACATTTGCATCTCTCGGGATAAGGCTTGGGACAGGCGACAAAGCAAAGCACATAACTAAGAATCATAACTGATCCTGAAATGTTTCTTCTGCTACATCATGTAACATACACCCATACCATAATTAAGATCCCAAAGAACCTGGGATTGTGTCATAGCCCATTTTGACATACCAGAAGCTAACACAGTGTAAATCTCTTTATTTTTTGGCATCTTTCTCTAAGAATTATTCATTGGCCAGTGTGATTTCAAAGTGTTCGGCACTCAATACTGGAAAATTGGTTGAAATCCTTCCTGCGGTGCTTCCAATCAAGCTTGCTCTAATGTCCCCGGGGAAAGTTGCAGAAGGCCCAAGTGCTTGCGTCCTTGCCACAACATGGGAGCTACAGATCAAGCTCCAGGCTTCAATCTGGCTCAGCTGTGGTTCTTGCAGCCACTTGAGGAGTGAATCATGGGATGGGAGAGCTCTCTCTTTGTCTCTCCACTCTCTGTCATGCTGCCTTTCAAGTGAGTTGGTAAATAAACATGTAAGATCTTTTATTAAACAAAAAGAGTACGAACCATTACAGACATTGTACAGGCATTTATGAAGAAAGAGCATCACCTGAGCATGTGCATGAGGGAGGCTCAAGGTAAAACAAGCTCTGAGATAAACCTGAGGTGAAACAAGACCTCAGAGAAGTGAGGAACATTGAGAACAATACAGAGGACGAAGGAAAGAACTAAAATCCTGCCATCGAGTCACAGAAGTTAGACAGACATGTGGAAATCAGAACAGCCAGATTGGAAGTTTAAGAAAAAAAATGTCTTGGAGTTCATTCAAAGTTTGCCAGCTAAACATGTTAAACTATAAATATGTTAAACTGCAGGTTGTGAAAAAGCACAGTTGTGACCCCCAACATAAATAAAAGCAAAAACTATGTTCAAAAGATATCTGTAAAATTTGTATATGTTTTCGTATTTTTATCTTTTTTTCTCAAAAATGATACTTGAACTAGGTATAAAGGTAACGCTGAGGGAGAAAACATATATTTTATGTGAGAAATCAAAAAGCGAAGAGAATCCTCAGACAATATCCAAATTTGAATTAAAACATAACACTGAAAAGAATGCTCCTAGAAATCATCTAAGCCACAAAGAATACTGTGATGGCAGTTGCCTGTTGACATAACTGGTTTGTGAATATTCTGATCACATTTAAATAAACTCTAAGTTATGTAGTGTAAAGAATCACAGTTATGCTAGATAATTATGGAACCTTAAACTCCTAGGAGGGCCTGATGTATGAAGAGGTGTAGAAAACCATTACCATTGACTTTTTAGGGAATTGAATGGAATTCATAACTTTTACCAAATAGTTAATTGGCATTCTCTCATGAGACTAGAGTAAGCTCTTAAAGTTGAGATCTGACTAGGGGTGATGATAAAGATAACATTCGAAGTGCATAGAATTTAAGTTTCACTTGTGACGGGTTCAAGAAGTCTTAGTGTCCAGGATAAATGGTTTCTTACGGTATATAGCGAGCTTCTGACTCAGGCTTCTCTCACTACCATACCCAAGTCTTTATGGTCCTATCTTAACACTACAGGACCAACTTATTATGACATTAACTCATTCTTTATGTTTTTTTTGTTACGAGATTTTTTAAAATGTGTATAATTTTTGTGTCATTCTCAATAACTTTTCAAATGATTTTCCCTTTCCCAATTTCCCCTTCCCAATTTCCCCAATATAAGAGTATCAGATTACCATCCTGCTGCTTAAATGTGTCATGATACTGCAGGTATAGGTAGTGGTACAGAATCTAGTATCCACTTGTCATGGTGTATTTAACAATTCCTTTGGGAGTCCTCCTTTTATTCAGGAGTAGGGATTTATGCTATAGTGTATCTCCACTTCCCAATACACTCATCTCCATTGCAGAGCTCAACTCTGAGAATGTATGTATACATTTGGCATACATTATTTGTTTTGAAAGCATTAACTAGTCAAGAGTCCTTACATAAAAAAGATACATTATATTCAAACAAATCAACAAAAATTAGTGGTCAGCATTATGGCACAGCCAGTTAAGCAGACACTTGCTCTGCCAACATCCTGCATGAGCTCCAGTTTGAGTCCCGGCTGCTCTGCTTTTCTTCTAGTTCCTTGTTAACACTTCTGGAAAATGAGCAGAAGATGGTCCAAAAACTTGCCATGCTTGTAAGAGAGCTGCGTGGAGTTCCCGGCTCTCAGATTTAGAGTTAGCACATCAAAGACCTCTCTATCTGTAAGTCTACTCTTCAAATCAATGAATAAAGCTTCAAAAAACCACAATAAATAAAAATAAATCATGTTTCACACCAAAAAAAAAAACACATTCGATTTAACAAATATTTGGGATGATCAGTTCAAACAGTCAAGAGTAATATTTAAAATAGTGTTTTGTATTTATCGCTAATGAATTTTGGTATATAAATACATAAAAACAAGATGCATTATATATATACATAACTACAGTGAGCAATGTTTTTGTACAAACCAGTTTGCTAGATATCCATATTAATTCAGGTTAAAAATATTTTTGAAGATGTATTTGAGAGAAAGAGCAAAATGTAACGAGAAAGGCAGAGCTTTCCAACGCTCTGGCTTATTCCTTTTACAGTCACAACATCGAGGTAAGGCCAGGCAGAAGACCAGAGTCCAAAATTCCATTCTGGTCTCCCACATTTGTGTGAGGAGCCCCAGGGACTGACCCATTCTCTGATGTTTTCCAAGGCACATTAGCAGGAAGCTTGATCAGAAGTAGAGTGTCAGTAAACCGTCAGACACGGTTGGCCAAGTATGGCTTAATCTGTTGCATCATGCTTCCTGCCTCTTACAAAGCTGTTTATGAGTCTATAATGAAACTTTCTAGGTATCTATACATGAGGTAGAAAATAGTTTTTGGCAGTTGCCTATATACAGTGAATTTAAATGGTACTTTTGCAAATGAAAGGAAGAAGATCTTTAAAATAAAAATCATTTTTAAGGCTTGGCAATACTGTGCATTCCCTGGGATTAGCAAAAATAACTTCAAATTGGGTAATAAAAAGCTTGGCTGAAATTTAGATTCACACAGAACAGTCTTTCCCTTCAGTCAGGTTTCAGTGGGAGATTAAATGCAGGCAGCACTTGGGATTTACAGCTTTTACGCCTGGATATTTACCTTAAACTCTGATAACATACTTTGTTTGGTTCCTTTTTTTCCCACTTTACATATTCTACTTCATCACAGTGTTGAAAAGCTTCTTTAATACACAGTTGTATTTAAAGACACACGTGACCTGGAAGAAATAGAGCCTGTCAATTTTTGGTTTGGTTTCTTTGCCTCAAAACACCAGGCATGGCCTCCATGCAGAATTCTGTTAGCTTTCCTAACCATCACTATCCACCCAGCCTTCAGCATATACACAGCGTGTTTCCCCTCTTTTTTTTTTTTCTTCTTTCAATTATATGAACAAAATGATGTTAGCATGTTGCCCACCTTTTACACTTCAAATTTACAATTATTTTTTAACTATCTGCTTCATCACCATGCATTAAGACTGCCAATTTTCATAGTGTAAAATTTCCATTTTTGTTTTGTTTTTCCAAACATGAAGCTCATCTATGAAGTAAGGATAATAAGGCTGCCTAGCCAAGCTTGTATGTGATGGAAATTCATTTCTTCAAGAGGAAAACAAATGCTTAGGAAATGCAATCTCACATAATCTCTAAAAATAGTCACTTTTTCTTTGAAGCATCAAGCAAGCTATTGGTATTAGCTGGTACTTTAGTTATTTGCTCACTGTGACTTAGTGAACCATTAAAAACTGAGCCATATTCCCAGTCTGGATTTGTATGCAGCCATAATTAAAACCCCTTTGGTAAGGGTGGATGGAGTTACCAATATCTTCCTCACTGTGCCTTTTCCTGAAGTACTAAAATGAGCTCTCTGAACCAGGGCTTGTGCTTTGTTTTACCTAAGTGTTGTACCTTGTGCAGAGGGCATCCTAACAAGCATATCTTGTAGTTTCAGTGATGTGGGCACGTTCACACGATTTGGGGACAAATTCAAAGGAAGTGGTATTCTCCATTATAGCATCACTAAGTCCAGCACTCTAGAAATTTGAAATTAAGCTTGAAATAATGATCTTTCCTGAAAAAAAAAATAACATTACATGTAATGGCAATGTTTAAAAATTATACGTTGCTGTTTTATTTTTTTTTTCAAGATCAACTTGATTTATAAATTCACAGAGGCACAGGTAAAGTCAGTAGCAGCAATGAATGTACTTGGAGTCTATCTGCTCTTTTTCTCAAACTTAGAATTTGGGCATTACATTGAAAAATGTAGGGGCAAATTCTGCAAGGGGCAAACACAAAATTCCATCTGAACAGTAAAATTCCGCATGTGCTACTTATTTTCTACAGACGATTTACAGGTTACAGACATGCTGTGACCTTTCTCTGCCAATTGAAAACAGATTAAGCAGAACCAATTAACCAGCCCTAAAAACACTGTGTTTTTCCTCTCTTGAGGGGGTCTTCGAGAAAACCGCCCTCCCTGAGTCCTCCCACTTCATTTGCTTGTAAATCACTGATCCCAAAGAGGTCTTCCACTTCCCCACCCCAACTGAAGCCCCGCAGCGCCATCCACGGCAACATGGTCTTATTTGATGGACGTCTCTTATTAATCACAAACGCTGAATGGAGACCAATCAGAAGGAAGAGTTTCCTCGGCTTCAGCTCCCTGCCTGTCTGAGTTAAAAGTGATGCTGGAGAGAGAGGCTCACTGAGACGCATGAAGATTCAGCTGCGAAGATACTATAAAAAGAGAAGAGAAGGAATGAGGCAGGATCAGCAGCGGGGTTGTTGGTGCTGAGCCGGGCGAAACTCAGGTCCGTTACTAAACAAGGTAAATGTTATTTACTTTGCCTGAGAGGGTGAGCTATTCTATTTTTGCTTTATTACCACGCAATAGTACAAATGTTGCTTTTCTCCTAGTCATTATATTTTGGTCTTTCTCTCAACATTTGGAAGCAGGTAAGAATACATTTTAAATAAAATATTTAAACGTTCGGTGTCTAGATATATAACATTTGCTTCTTATTTTACTTTTACAAAGTGGCATTTATCAATCTCTTATTACCGTCTCCAGATCTGCAGAGAATTACATACAAAAGAGCTAGATGCAGAAATAACAATACTATTTGCAAAAATAACAAATTCTACTAGTTGATCATATGGCTTTCAGTTATTTACATATAAATGTATGCTTGTGTTATGTCAGTTATATGAATTTGAAATTGACTGGAACTTGTGTCATAACTTCTGTTTCAATAATTTGTCAAAACTATAAAAAAAAGAAGGCATTTTTATACATAGTGTAATTAAAAGTGACTTTTGAATTTTAAGCACGAAGCAATGAATACACAGCAAAAATATCGCACGAATAACTGGGTTTAAGAATAAAACTGTTGATTTCACTTGCTAAAGCTCATAGTATATGTTTCTCAGGCCAACGTTCTTCATCTGTCAGTCTGTTGTCTCCAATTGCGTTCTGCTTTCCTCAATGATGTATTTAAACGCAGTGAAAACTGTTTAAAACCCACAGGGAAATGAAAGAGTTTGAAAGGGAAAATGATTATTTCTAAAATATGAAGTGCTATAGAATATGTATCAATATGATAGAGTAATGTCTTGGGTTTTTTTTTGTTTCAAATCTACCTTCATTCACATCACCTATTTGCAATCAATACTCTGAAAAATTCCTTGGTGGATGTTCAGGATAAAGTTATTATTCTGACAGATTTACAGTTAGGTATTGATAACAGGGCAAAGTTCTCAAAATCTGTTAAATGACAAATGTACAATAAAAGCAAAGTTATTAACAGTAGTCGATAAGTTTACATCTATTTATATGATCAACTCTTTGATGGACCACAACGTTGGGTAGCTTTGAGCAGAAATGTGTGGTGTTTGGAAGGTTTGCTGTCATTTAATATTTTTGCTGCAGATCTGACATTCCAGATGACTTTTTTACAAGGTTTCTCAGATCTATGTATCATGAAGAATGATGATTGTGTGACATCAAAATATGGGGAACTTTTGTATGATAGGAGGGACTCTTCTTTTGGGTCCCTTTGCTTGATTCATGAAATTGGTTCTGCCCCCATCATTAACCACAGCTGATTAAGGAGGAACTTGATCATTCAACGCTCTTAATTTGGGGAATAAGCCATCTCTGAGGAGAAGTAGGATCCTATTTTCAGAAGCAGATGCTGCTGCACTACCTAGGCAAGGCTGGCTGAGCATAGAAAGTATTTGTGTAACTATGAAAATGGCTAACACAAGTTTTGATAGTTAATCTGTTGACAGATAAAGAAATAAAATAGCATTCATTATAGCACATAGCACCAAAGAGCTTGAAGACAATAAGAGCAGTAAAAATTAATAGTCTTGCCACCAAGCATATTCTCAGTTCAACTAAGTTTTCTTAATGGAAAGATAGAGAAATAGTACATGGATACAATAGACAGAGCAGATGTGTTAATACGTAATCAGATTTATGAGCTTTTAAAAGTGAGAAAGCTTAAGACAAAGTGTATATCATGAAAGATCTAACTCTGGAAATGATAAATGGAGCAATATTTTAGAGAGAACAGATAGCAATAATAATCAGTTAAAGCAATTCATTAATTTCATATCAGATAAATTCGGTAGCTTGATTAAGGCAAATTTCATATATAAACAATTTCATTCTATAGAAGGAAAGCTCGATTTTGCTTTAGTTTACAATTTGGGAGTGTAGCACATTTAAAATGGTTTATATAATTATGAGACCATGGCTGCAGTCATTAAACTGTGGAAATGAAAGTCTTGTAGCCTTTTCCCATTTGTAAAGGCATAACAACATCAGAGTTGCTTTTCCCATTATCTTTTTAAATGTTGCATTGCTTTGACTTGAGAGAGTGTGTATTGTATCAGAACCTCTTCTGAATGTCACCCTGCATGATCAGATGTGAATTGATATTTTGCTTTAACCCCTGTATACCTAAAGCTTAGCCAATGCAATGTCTTTACATAGGACATACACTAAGTGAAAATTAAAACTAGCAGTATTTCGGGGCCAATTTTTTCCTGCTGATTTGTTTCTCTCTGGGTATCAGCTCTGAAACAGATACTATATGAAGCAAAACACAGCTACAAAATATGAGTTTTAGAACACTTTGGAGAATGCTTAAATTTACAAAATATGTGGTCATGTGGAAATATATAATAATATATAAGGAACACATGTATTTGTGTTATGAGTAAATATCGCTCTTATTCTCCATGACTATGAATAGCCCAGATAGATCACTAGAATGAATATACATGCTGCCTTTTATGACCAATGTTTTTCACTGTCTTGCATTCATATTTAAATATTAAGGTAGAAGTGATATTTTATTTGTAAAAGAAAGTGTGATACTTTTAAAATGTCCAATGCAACAGCTTATATATACTTCCAATTTCAATGTCAGTACAGAGTGTGCAGTAAGTTTGCTTATTGAGGTAGTATTTTGTAACAAAATCTCAGGCTAGACTCGTAAGCATTTCATTATTTCATTATCTTCTCAAATTTAGATTCTCTTAAAGAAGAAATAAGAATGCTAAGCAGAATCAGAAGGACATGAGTTATGAAAGAACTTCATGGTTTTTTAACAATTCTAACTTCATCAATATAATGACATTTGTTGTACAAAATGAAGTATTCTCTAAGATAAAAATACTTTTTTCTCAACATTTTGCATATTTGTTTACAGAGACTACTTGTCTTGTCACAAGTATCCTAACAAACCATATTAATATACCTCATTTATGTATTTCTGTGAAATTTCACAGGTGTAGAAAAGCAGTTTTGACCACTCAGAACTCTAATCCTATACATAAAAAACTACACAGAGGGTGATCAGAATGTATGTCCAATGCCGTCATGCTGTACACAAACAACTGCCATGGTACTGGAAATGTATCATTTAAAGTGATGAAAATGAAATTAGAAAGCTAGATGAGGTACAAAGATTGGCTAGATGGATGGAGAGAAAGAAAGAGAGAGAGAGAGAAAGAGAGAGGATAGATGACAATAATTCCTATATGGTTTACATATCCAAAAAAGCTTTTTCACTTATGAGGCACTTCAGTGTCTTTGCCTAGAGCTACCATTATCCTCATTATTAAAAGATGGCAATGAACGCACAATGAGGAAAGTATCATTATAGAACTTTAATACATTTCCGTACCGATCCTAACATATTAATGTACTTTTCTCTAAATTTAGCACTGGTAAGAGCTGGTCTAACAGTCACATTACACATGCAAATTGCCGCAATGAAAGTAAAGGTTCTGGAATCTATCCAATAAATTTCATATTAGTGCTACCAAGAAGCAGATCCCAAAACATAAGTCATGATAATGGAACTTACTAACTACAAAGGTAAAATGGGGGCAAGAGGTGGTAGTGTTTCTGTTAATTACGGTCTGTGGGGGTGGGAGAGTGAGGAATACTTTTGTTTGTTTATTGATTGATCGATCGATTGGTTTATGTGTAGATGAGTGATGGGTGAGAACTGGATGTTTCCTTAAGGTCAAGTTCAAGTCTTTCCTTTTGTTGTCTTAATTTAATACCATTAAAGGAAGGAATGAGAACTCTCCTAACTTTTATTTCTTTTTCTATGCGTAACTTTACTTTCTAATTAACCAGTGATGCACAGTATCCACTGTTAAGAATGGATAGATGATCTGTTCCCCTTTGAGCTCTAAAAAGCATGGATGACTTTATTTTGTTATTTACACTAAATAGATATTTCAAGTTATAATAAACAATAATAGCTATAGTTGTTGAATTGTGAGTTGGAAATTTTAATATGTTCCTAGATGTTTTGAAATAATACCTATCTACAGAACTTGTCTTAGACTAGGCTGCACTTACCACAATTCTTGCATTTTTAAATTGTTTTTATTGCTTTATGACACCATTTAATAGGCACTGAGGTCTCCCTTCCCCGTCCCCCGCCCCAAGTACTCCCCTCTACCCACTGTTCTCCCCCTCCAGTCTTAACATGGGTGTCTTTTGTGATTTTTCACAAGTCTATCATGCTGCTACTGAGGTTTCCCCCACAGTGTAGGAGATTATTAGCTGTATCGCTATAAGTCAGTCCTTGCACTGCATGCCTGGGGACATACTTCTCTCTGTTTCCACCTATGAATATATTAATTTCTGCTACACTTCCGTTATGCATCCCCTTGAGTACAGTCCACCACAGTGAGGAAAAAAAAAAAATAGTGATCCTTCATTCACATGGAGTTGACAAACATAACAAAGGTACCAATGTCACACTTTTGATAGAGTATCCAATGCACAGTAAATTTTTCCACATACTTAGAAAATAGGATCTTGTGGCAGTCATTGAAAAAGAACTTTTTTCTTGGCCTTCATTGTAATGGAGGAGAAAACAAACAATGTGTATCACAATGTGGGGTCTACCCAAATGAGTACCAATTATCAACTTCATGGATCGAAAGACATGGCATAAAATGTTCTTATTTTATGTAACTGATATGTTGGTATAACACATTTTCAAAGCAAGTTTTCCTCCAAATGTTAAGCAGACTTTTAGAAAAAAAATCATGTTTTTGCATTTCTATGAAAAGCAGGATATTATAATAAATTCATAATATATGAGAAATGGTATTTTTATATATTAATGTTTTAGCATTACAGATACAAGATGGAGAACATAATAATTCAAATATCCTTTCAACTTAATGGTCATAAAGCCATGAACACACAAAAAATAATCCAAGAAAATATAGTTTGAATTACAGATTAAGATTTCCATATCTGTATCTTCACACTGGAATCTATTGCCT